GCAGCCTAACCCTCTGCTGCTTTTGGGAGGTTCAGCTGAGAAGCAAAACCAGTTTATCCTTACGAGGCCAGAGATGCCAACCTACACTACAGTTATGAGCAATGGGCAGAGTTTTCTGCCGTAGCCACAGGTATTTTGAGTACCTGATGCAAGATACCTAGGTAAGGCCATGAATGAAGATCACCCAGCTCCGGGTGCGGGGCTTTGCTGGCTAGTTTGGCTTGCTTGCCTCTGCAGACAAAAGCCAGAGATGTTTCCTGCAGAGGGAAATCCAGAGCAGGAGTTAGAGATGGTCTTAACAGCCCTCTGAAAGAATATCTCCCCCTCTCAGCAAAGGTGGGACTTCAGGAGGTTTGCCTGCTAACTCAGCTACCTCAAGCGTCATAGGTGAAATCTCAGGATGTTGAAAAGATGATAAAACCATTCTTGCTCTTTTTCCCCGTATCATAAGCAGGCAGAAGTTTTAGTTCTCCCCTTTCAGTTCTTCAATTAAGATTGAGTTGCATTCACGTCCACGAAGTCTTGCAAGTAACAGCTATGTAAGTCTGGCTAAGCAGAGTTCTCTCTCCTTACCCAGTTCTTTCTTTGATTTATGCTTTTAAGGCTAGAAATTCTTAGGGTGAATAGTTTTTCTCGGGGCTTGGCAGGATCCTGGCAGTTTATGGGTACTTTGCTACCCGACAGTTTCCCAGGTTGAAGTCACCACCGCAGCAGTAACCCTGGCATTCACTGATTACTCAGTAATTGTCGTATGCCAAGGCGTAGACATGCTCATGAAGTGGATAAAATATTAGTAGGAGTGTGAAATGCAGATAGAAATGCTCTCAAGAGACCTAGGCCGAGGCATAGGACGCTTCTAATTTTTTCTTTAATTTCATTGATACTCTTAACATCCAGGTGCTTTTTTCTAGAAACTAAGTGCCAGGTCTTACTCTGAACTCTTCTCCATCCCTCACTGCAGCCCCACATTACAATAGTGATTTCCTTCCTCTCATCTCTGTCTGAAAGGGACAAAAGACAGATTGTTTTTCTATGAAATGATCTGAAAAACCTGGTTAGAATATGCAAATCCAGTGCTTGGAAAGACCCACTTGACTAGGCAGTGTTCCCTTGGGGACTGTAACTATTACACTTGTAAAGTAGAGCTATTTTAAGCAGAAACCTGTCATTAGGATCTCATAAATTTATCATGCTATGTTCATGCAACAAATGCAAGTGAGACGTGTCATTATGAGAGCAGTCTGAACACTGTTTCTGCCCTTTCATCCCACCATTAGCTTGCATGGCTAAGGAAGCGTACAACATATCTAAGATAGCATCCACCAGGCAGTGCTAGAATTCACATCAACAACCAGCTCTTTCTTGTGGACTTTTCAGACTAATCCTTGGAGGGGATTAAAAAAAGAGCTAACTCTTGTGACCGGACACTCAACAGACAAATAGAGATTCTCCAATACAGATGCAAGATGCCATATCAAATAAGATCCTACATCTATACAAAGATGCTATCCCTGTTCCAGGGGGGTTTGTTGGTTGGTTGTTTTTTTTTTTTTTCCAGAAAATACCCTCATTCAAACGTGCAAAAAAATGTAAAGCTTTAGAAACAGAAACAAAGGCATCATTTAGAGTGTCTCCTCAGGCAAATAATCATGAATATGATGGGACCATCGTAAATAAAAGTAAGGCAGTGTAATGAAGGGTTCAAGATGCCATGGCCATTTGCTTCAGGGTTTTAATAGGTCAGCACAGGTCTTTTTTCTACTAGAGCACGTTCTCATTAACAAAGTGTACACAACACACCATAGAAAAAATTAACAGTAAATGATAGGGTTGGTGGGAACTGACAGGGGCGATGAGGGAGTTTCCAGAAGATCGGTCTGGTTTTCATGTTCTATAGATTGAACAGGCCAAAGCAGCTCAAATTAAAGAGTAGAAAACATGGTCAGATTGTTTGAACTGCTTGGTAACCAGATGAAATATATAACAAAACAAAAGCTATAGCGCTGCAGTAAAAGTTTGCTTGTAGAGTTCCGTATAAAAGTCCATTGAGCAAGTATGTTCGTTCCTAGGAATCTGTAAAACTAGTGTTCCTAAATTAACTTTATATATATATATATAACCTCCCAAATACGTGGGGAAGATTTAAATAATGAAATCCGTATGTAGCTTAGGTGCCCAAAAAAGACTTTGTTTTGTTTTGAAAGTACCAGAAACAGGAGAAAGGGGAACTGAAAGGCAATCCCATGCAAATTTTGCTGGCCACTTCCCAGGAAATAGATTTGGATCTTTAAAAGCAAACAAAACACATGCATATACGTGTAAACTGGCCTTGCAAAGAAGAGAGCTATTCGTGCTTGGATTTCCAGCTGCGTGACCCTATTGTTTCATCCAGACACTTCAGATGTTTCACATGTTAGAAGTCTGTTGTACAAACGTATGGAGAAGGAAGCATTCCACACGTGAAAACCAAAACCTGCAAATATTCTGCATCGCCACTAGCACGCTGCAGAGTTGTTACTGCAACTCTCTGGGAACCGGGTCGTCGTTTCACTAAATGTCACTAGCAGGTGAAAGGGCTTACGCAGAAGACATGGATAGTGATCCCTAAAAAGCAAAGAAAAAACCCTCTCCCTTTCGTGCAATATTTTTAACTAGGCTTCCAAATGAGCCATTGCTACAGCTGAGGCCGGCCGCTCAGAGGTCCGTTACGGGCTGAACGCACATCCTTACTTTTGGATGGTATACAAATGGCAGCGCTTTTCCCCACCTCGTCGTTCCAGGGTTAGTCTCCTCTTGTGCACTCTGCAAAGGGAAATTTCCAAGACTCCGCCTTTGCCAGGCTTTCAGAGAGCAGGATGCTTGTAAATTTTACTTTACTGCCTACACATAAGGAGAGACCATGAGGGCACAGCAGGGAGGGTGTGGGAGAAAGCAGAAAAAAGTATCACAGATACCGCAGCCAGAGGAAAAACTAAGCACTGGGTTTGTTGTTACAGGGTCCCAACCAGTGAGCAGTTTATTTTTCCAAATAAATCTGCTTTGCAGACATCCTTTCTTCTCCCCCATTCAAGTTTTCAACCAGGAAACCTGGAATAAGTTACTGTTGATTTTAGAGGCAAATCAAAGTGTTCAGCCTGCTAAGCTTGCGTTTAAAGTTAGTCTTGATGAGCAACTCCTTGGGGCCCTTGTATTCAAATAGTGAGGTCTCGGATTCACCTGAACTGCCCACCCATGCAGATCTATAATACAGGCAGGAAGACCAGGGAATGGGCAGCCTGGGCTTCAAGCCTCAGTTCTGAAGTAAAGTAAAGGCTCCACATTTTAAATCAAATGCAGAAAAAAAATCCCTTCAATAAAACTTAAACGGTCGTTCAAAAGAGTGGAATATTTACTAACCAAGACCAGGAGAGGGCTGGATTTAGGTAGAACAAGTGGACCAGATGTCCTGTTGCTAATCCAAAATTAAGTACGGTACTGAGCATGCACACCCTCCTTGGAAAGGCTGAGCAACCAACTTCCTGGGATTTGGATCAGGTTGGACTTTCAGAGGCATTTCATCCCAGATCTCCTGCATTCAGGAAGGTGTCCTTATTGGCATCCTTGGCACCCGACCGTTGCTACAGTCCTGCTACTCCTTAACAGAATAATGAAACACAAACACTACAGAAATGCATCAGGAAGAGATCAGTGAACTTCCAAAAGTCCCTCCTTCAGAGCTGACGGTAGTTCTGAATGGAGGCTTGTACCAGCCCATTTTGTTTAGGTGGTTTGATGTTGCAACCTGGCTGCTAATATAAAGAAATGAGAAGAATAAAACACTGGATGAAAATGAGATAGCACAGCAGGTTACGGCTTGCATGTGGCAAATTTGCTTTTGTTTTGCCACTTTGAACACCACCCACCCCTGCTTTATATTGAAGCGTAATGGTGCTGCCTATACTCCCCCAGGACCAAGGATTTCACATAATTTAATAGTTTCTGTAATTAGATATTTGTGAAACTCTGAAATCCTCTGATGAAAGGTGCTGTAAAAGTATTAGCAACTCTGCTGCCATGAAAGGACTCCACCCAAACCCAAATACAGATGTTGCCCTCAATGTACATCATTACTAATCCAAGCCAGCAGTACTTATGGCCTGATTTAAATCCTCCTGAGGTCCCAGATGACTTCTGTGAGCTCCAGTAGGGCCCCAAGAATTCTAGAAAGGAAATACAGGCAAATTAGCCTTCTCGCCTCTCAAAATTGGAACCTCCTTTTCATCAGCAATGACATGAGTAAGGATATTCAGAATGAACCACAAGGCCATTTGCTGCTAAGAGAAATTATAACGTTCTTACACTGAGTTCGAGAACTAAGGCTGCCGGTAAGGTTTTTCCCTACTGCTGTACAATCATGCCACATATTAACGCAAGACCCTGTAGTCCACTGTCCCTGCTCCACCCTCCTCCCGCCATGGACTTGTACAAATGGAAGAGGATTATTTTTCTATTTAGTACTTCCCATGCTCAGGGAAGTATCTAACCACCAAGCTGACTATTTATTATTTATAGACCTGAGATATCAGTGCATAGACTGACCTTGTAATAACCATAGTGCGTAATGGGAAGAGTTGCTATACCAGACCAGGTCTAGCTACACTGCTGCTGGGTAGCCACTCTGGTACCAAACATGCCACGAGTCCTTTTTTTAAGAAGAAAGGGAGGCAGGAAGAAAGAGACTTGAAGATTTTACCACTGTTTCTGGTCTGTCATGCAAAGAAGCAGATGGGGAGAATAGTAATTGTTTGTTGGTTACCACAGGAAAGTTTGTTTGCTGGGTCTTTTTAAACCAGTGCAACAGGATTGTTTGCTTCAACCTACTTAGATAGTGAAGAAACAAAAATGACTTTGGCGTTTCCATCCCAAGGATGGTTGGCATCTCCAGTGGTAGTGCATCCTTTAGCTCCTTCCACATAAAGATTACCCGCATCGTTCCAGAAATCTGCCACCGGCTTACTTACCTTGGCTTCTGCTTCCATCGCTGGCCTTGGCAAACGAGAGAATTATGGTTTAGCTCTACAAAGACAGAGTCCCATGTGCTGTGCGGGACTTGAGGCCAGCCTCGTCCATCTTCTCAGCTTTCAGCTTCTTCAGTGCTTCAGTAATTAGAATTATCAGAACTAAAACACTGTGGACATTATTGCTGCTTAGCGTGAAGCTAACAAGAGCGCGCCAGATTTACAACGTTCTGGCCAGACAGAGAATTAAAAAAAAGTTACAAATCATTGCCCAGTTCCAGGGATACGTACTCCAGGATCTTATTTCGCCAGAGACTCCACGTGAACTTTAGCCTCTAGGAGAAATCCGCCTGCATTTCTCTAATTGAAATACCAGTCAGACCAGTGGCGGGATGCAAACTAACACGCATGAAAAATAAAGGTTCAATGACCCAAATCAATTATGTTTTAAGGGCACTGCTCTGGACTCAGTAGGAAATATTTTAAACAGGAAAAAGAACTAAATAGGATCATTCATTGAACTGACCTGGAAATGAGACAGAAATTTGGTAAATAAGAAGTTCAATGCAAGCCAGTTTTATGTACCAACTGTAGTGGATTTAAAAAAAAAAAAACCAAACCAACCAACCAAGCCCAGATATTTCTTACACTCAAATAATGTTTCAGACTTCTGGGTACTAAAGTAAACAGTGCAATACAACAAAGCAATTCTCATGCCTTCCTTGAGCACAGGCAGCGTTACACAGTTTACTTCCAGACATTAAAAAACCAGCAGTTTATAGAAATCCTGAAACTGCATCTTTATTAAAATAGGACAACCTGCAGGTCTTCTGCATAAAACAATAATAATAATTTAAAGAAGAAACAACCTCTGAAGATGAGAACTAGATACTGTGGCTGGATTTTTAAAGCACATAACACACAAGCTAGGGAGAAACAGCTCTACAGCTTATGTGAACATAGCTGCTCCCCAAACGGGCCGAACGGCCAACCTCTCCGCACAGTAAATATCAGCCCGGGTACACTGTAAACACACTAGGAAGCAGCTATGGCAACTAATCAAGCTATAATGAAAATAGGAAAGACTACTTTTTCTACTCCTAAAGCCCAGAGTACTTTCACACACAGTGAAGAGATCAGTAGGTATTAAGCTCATTGCCAACAGAACTTTCAGGTTCTTTGAAGGTGCCTTATTTGTCTCGATTGGCTTAGTTTCTTGAGACAGAAAGACAGCCTGGTGTGCACGTACAGTGCTTTACAGTGACCTATAAAGCAAAAGCTACCTGGACCTAAGAATCCCGTTAAAGTGCTACTAAAATAACCCCCACACCTGGCAGCAGCTGGGATTGGAACCAGCTGTGCAGTACATCTGGTAAAGAACGGAGCTGCTGCGAGCAGACATTGAGCCGTTTGAGGGACGTACTTTTCCAGTCCAGCATTTGTCTGGAGAGACTTGATGAGAGTCACATATTTTGCCTCCACTTTTCTTAAGGCAGAAGCTGACCAGTAACAGACCCATTGTGTGTCAATTCAAAACAATTGAGAATTTCCATATCCTTCCCCCCCCCCCATCAGAAGTGTATATTTTGCTGCTCCAGTTGCATAATTTACTGATTCAGCTGCATGCTTGGTTGATCTGGCAGGAGACTAGTACAGTAGCTGAGACTCTGGATACATTGCCAATTGTGCAGCGTGCTTTGTTGATCAGGGCCGTAGAATTTAATAGCTGAAATTTCATACACTTTACTAATCAGGCCACATTCTTTGCTAATTGAGGTGCATATTTTAGTAGTAGTTTTTTTTTTTTTAATCTTTCACTGATCTTGGGAAGGATCCTGCTCCATCTGAAACCAGCGGGAGGTTTGCCATAGTCCTCACTGGGAGCAGGACTAAGACTTTCACTAGAGGGTCTAGGATGACTAAGAGTTCTTCTCCTAAAACGAACAAGAAAGGTTTGATTTTTTTCTTTAAGCCAGCAAGTGAACAGAAGAATAGCAGATGAAGGATGGCACTGGCATAGAGAGCTCCTCCACGGGTATTTGATTAAACATATAATATTTTATGGACATACAGAGACATAATTCTGACTATGTTATTCTTTCATCAGGCTTACATTCTTCCTCCAGGATAAACAAACCGCTTATCTGCACATCTTGTTCCATCTGATACAGACACACAGGAGGAAACATCACACACCTTATCTTCAAATTTTCTTTCATTTGATCTAACTCCTGTTTTCAGATTGCTGTAGTACTCGGTGAAGGATTCCAGAGAGAGCTCTACTTTGCCACAAAACACATTTCAAACATCCACGCTACCCCATAGCATCCCAAAGCTCCTCAACTCTGACTGCCAGAGACCACCTTCCTGGATGAAAAGAACAATTCGGTTTCCTATGCCTCATGCAGATTTGCCCTTTCCAAGGGAGTTTCTGTTATGCTTTTATATTGTTAACTCTAAGCCTGAAGACAATTCATTTCTCATAGATCTTTGAATACCTTTTTTCAACTGCTAAATTGAACTACATTTGAACCACCAACTTAGAGTGGGACGTGTATATTTTTACTAGCATAGCAACACTATCAGAATGTAGCCAAAAAAGATAAAAACAATGAAGCCTACGCAGCGTAGTGCAGTCCTTGATGAGTGAAGAGCAAGTGCAACTTACTCAAAAAAATAACAAAAACAGGGAGCAAGAGATGTACACGCACATCTGTTTGCACACAGATATTTCACTGTCATATTTAGGAAGATAAGCAATAGAAAATGCCTAATTTTCATTCTCCAAAATTAGCTGTCCAGTATGTTAAGAGACTCTAGGCAGCATGTGGTCAAAAGAATAATTGACACAGCAAGAAGTCAAGTCTGGGAAAGCATGCGGGAGGCTGCTGCTTCTTCATGAAGGAGGAAATTCTTTTCTATAGTGCTGTTGGTCAATACTTTAGTTCAGATACTGCCTGATGGGAAATCAAACGGTCCTGAGTTCGGAGTTAGAGAGCAACAGAAGTTGGCTAGGAAACACAGAAAAAAGAAAAATCAAGCAAAAATAATACAGCTTGCTGATGCATTCGGTGCCCCGCCATCGCCACTCACACCCCAAGGCGCACCACCCAGACAGTACTTGGTCCACCTCACGGCTGCGCCGGCAAAGTTAGAACAAAACTAGCACAGGAAAGATGTCGTAACTTTGGGCAGCAAGCAAGTTATGTAGTTTAATAAGAGAATATGCAGCTGGATGAGAGACTTGTTCACCTCTAGTAACAAAGCCAACAGGAGAGGGTAAGCTGGCGGGTTACGTGATGCAATTCTGAGTTAAAAGAGAAACGAAAGACAGAACTCCACAACCATACAATTCAACAGACTTAAGCGCGCACCTTTGGTAAAGGTAATACTTAGCACTTCATCGCCAGAAATGTGGCTTAATTAAGACGTTCTCACTGTAGCTACCTTCACTAGGATGCCAGTGAGATAAAACATCTTTGTTTCAACCACAAAGTTATCGCTGTGTTCGTATGTGCCGTGGCAGGGAGTTGGTGTGTCAGGCAGAATTACAATGCTCTCTTCCCCCAGGGAAAGCAACCCCCCACCTTTTTTCCTGATACATATACACGTAACGAAAGACATAAATGTGTGGAATATTATTTTCTTACAGCGTAGTGGCTCATGTTTTATAGATCTGAGAATCTCTACGGGAAGTGTCAAATCTTGCTCCTATCAGGGTCCACAGGAAAAGTCCCGCTCACTTCAGCGCGACTGGGACTGCTCACCCTTCCCAAAGCACCGAGCGACTGCTCGCTCTGCAGCCGCCCCCTGCGCGCGGGGCACTCCGTGCCCCCTCGCCTGCCCTGCCATCGCCGCTCTGGCTGCCCTGGTGCTCCCCCCGCGGGTCCCAACCTGTGCCAAGCCCCCAAGTGCTGTAGCTTAGGGTCACCTGCGCCGCTCACCTGCTCTCCGCGCTACAGACGGGGTGCACGGGAGCGGGGGGCATAGGGACGGTAACGCAGCACATGTTGGGCTCCT